CATATGCATGGTAAAAACTGTAGATAGCATCATTGCTGAATTTCCTCTGAGCAGCTGTTGCAGCGTTTACAGCGTGATTGTAATACTTTTCGTAGCAATAGTACCTGATCAAAGCCTGTGGAAAAATATAAAGAAGGTACTTCGTCTTCAAGGCTTTAATGGCAGCGATAGTAACAAAAAAACGGTATGTGAAATACGCTCTGCCATATACTGCAGCCAACGTTATTTTCAGAACGCCAAAGTTAAAAGAACCCTGCGTTAGCTTCAGCATGCTAGCTAGTTCACCATTGGCAGATATCATTCCTCGACAACAGCTATTGTTCCTGTTGAACATTTGTACGAACAGTTCACTCTTATTTATCGTTAACTACTTCTCTGTATCATTTTGCAATAGTCTCGACATGCTAAACTGTAGCATTACTGTAATAGTAGTTAAGGCTGACTTAAACAGGGTGCTGTATCATTAAGATATATGCGCTTACCAACGTTGTGTCTTCATCCTCCATCTTGGCTGAAAACGTTGGGCTTTTACCAACCTGAAACAGATATCAATTTACCCTGTCTGCATTGTACTTTGGCATAGAAACGATATTATTGCTGTTTTCGTTATGTTTTCGCCATCTTGCACTGACTCCTTTAGCGTTGCCTGGTAACTTAGTAACCTACGTAAAAAAGTGGGGGTTACACCCTGAGTTTTTCCTTTCAGGCACCACCCGCAACAGGGCTGTTCGTTTATCTCGCCACCTTTACTATAACTGGAGGCGCTAAAACCCAGCCAGAGTTTATACTATCTTAAAATCGCTTAATATTTTTATCAATACAATTTGTTGGGCGACAATTGGTAAAGCGTTTTGGGTCTGACAGCCTGGTAGGGAGCCCGAAATACCAAACTGAGGGCAAAGTTATGTTAAGTTATTTATTGACGCCATCTTTACATTGAATCGAGCTAGTTTGGCTTTATATCTCTAGGTGGCGCAGTCATCCTTTTATAAAATGCTATACTACTAGCTACTACTATTACTAATGATAATAATAATAATAATAATAATCATCATCATCATAGTAATAATAATAATAATAATAATTATAATTATAATTACAATACAACGATTTCGCTGAAAAATCTATATAAGAAAATATGTTTTAAAAAATGAAATTTAATAAATATGACTAAAGTGAATTTTACCATGCATGCTTTACCTTTTATAAGATGGTATTTTTTGACTTCTAAATGTTGTAGATCATATGAAGCAACATGCAGAAAAAAATATTGCATGCGAAAGTAAGTTTAACCTACTTTGAATATATGGAAATGATTTAAGGGAGCTCAGTGGCTTAGATTACACTCACGGAGGTTGGATTAATGTGGTCAGTAGGCTTGGTTGGACTGGCCTTCTGTTTTCCAGACCTAAATCATTTTCTCAGGTTAGGAAAAACATGATGATACAATGATATAATGACATCAACATCTCATTTTTGTTATTGTGTAATATCAACTACATTATTTTTCATCTCAACCAAACAAGAAAACTAGAAAGTTTTTCTAAATCTCACCTATTAACACAGCTTTACACAGTTTATCATGTGCAGTGGAAACATATTTCCATCCGGCCAGTGGTAATTGTTGGCCCAATGTTATGCAACACCACGCGTATGAACTCCTGATGTCTGCAGTGTTGAGTCCATGGCAGGAGCAGCCAGTGTCCAGCATGGGTGCAACTGTTCCAGGAGAGACCTTTCCATGCCTTGTCAGATACTATTTAGCACTAACTCTGGCAGATAATCATTACTCTCTGCAGCACACATCAATGGAAGAGTAAATCAGGTTGGTATCGAGCTCTGAGCATGTGCAGCAATGGGAAATGTCTGTACGCCGTATCACACATTTTAGCTCACAGTTTATTTTACCATAAATGCACATGCTGAATATGTATTCTGCTGAACTATTTTGTCTTTATTCAGTTATTCATCAATCCAACTGGAATAAATGACATTTTTAATAATACTTCTACATAGTAGTTACATGGAAGATTACCAAGGTGTTGTACTTAGCAAAGAGCAATAAATACTGCATGTGTTGTTGCACTTACACAAAATGCATCTGAAAACCTATTAGAGGAAATACTGTGGAATATGAACCCCCTGGGATGTACTGCTATAGCATTTTAATGGCTATATCCATTGTGGTTTGTACAGACCATTATTGATCAAAGAGCCATACCCAATAATATAAGCAGCTCACTTGCTAATAAACTCTTTTATTTCTTTTTCCATATGTGTTGCAGTAAAAAAAAAAGAAGAAGCTTGTACTAATTTGAATTTAAAATGTACTTTAAAATGTAAAGCAATCTTTTTATAAACTTTTTTTGTGTGTTTGTTGTTGTAATATCTTTTGATTGAGAAGGTGTTGTCTGTAAACTGTGATATTTGTGTTATTTTGCTGCTGTGAATTACTGAGGGAGTGGTTCACTTGAAACAGTGTGTGTGTATGTTGGTGTACAATCCAGTGGTTGAGATACAAAGTGAGTATGCTTGTGTATGTGTGGCTCTCACACTGTGTCTCTGTCTATTAGCACATTGGGAAGGTAGGGGGGAAACTCACCACTACCTAATCTAATGGGATTTTCTTCCCATCTATCTACAGCAAATACAATTACAGAGCTGTTATGGGGAGCATTCTCAGATTTCTTTGTGAATTGTTTTTTATCACGCTCCCCCATGCATGCCAGTGGCGAGATCCCAAGCCAAGTAGACATCCTTTCACATATAGTGTAACATGTCCACATATTATTGCCCAGCTTGCGAGACTCCATGGGTGGGGACAGCAAACCAACTTCCGACCTCCCGCCCTAATGCAGTCTAACAAAGGAGCTTGATGTCCTGTTGCTGAGCAACTGGCGAGGAGAATCTGCAGAATCACTCTTGATTTACTGGTCATTAAAAAAAAAGCAGCCTGTTAACCTGACCTGTTGCCATGAGTGGGGCTGTGTGCTGGTTTCAGTTATAGGCTAGATTTCATAGTATATTGGCTTGCCTACATCAGCTGATGGATGAAATTATATGCAAAGATATTTGTTTTTTACAGAAGAAGAATCTTTTGACATTTTCATATAAACACTCTGAGAGCATGGGCTTTCTCTGGAAAACATGTGAGCCATAAAGTACTGTGAGTGGGTGTGGCACAAATTGATAATCACATCATCTGTGTGAGGCAGAATGGCAGAAAAAAATCTGCACTTTACCATCAGCCCTCTGTTTACTGCCTTCAGGATTCAGCAGCCACAATAGGTAAAAGCAATGTTGGATTTAAATGAATATTTGGACTGTTGTTAATAATTAATAAAAAATGTTCCACCCACTTAAGATGCTAATAGTTTCCGGCAGAAGCCACAAAGCACACTCAGAAACCAGATTCTAGCTTCTTGTTCAGCTGTTAGCTAAAACAGACGGCACACTGACATGAAAAGATGGCAAATCTGTGCACATTTTCAGTGCTGAAGCTCCCCTCTTGGCCTGCAGGGACTGAAATATTTTGAAGACATTTTTTTTTTTACATCTAGTGTATTGTCATGTCACTCAAGATAATTTGCTTAAAGTCAGACATTCATAAGTGCTGTCAATATCCCAAGAGAGTGAAGAGATCAATATAAGTTGAACCATTAACAGTGTGAGTGCTCATTGCATTTTGCACATGAAATGGACACTGATAGCTTCAACATTTTACAGGTTCTGAATTGACACTGATGCTATCATCAAGTTTATAACTGTAAAAGCTGATGCCTAGCTCTTCAAATGAAAATGAAATCTGAAAGTTTTCATGTCAGTCTCACGATTACTCATCAACTTCATTCAACTGTGATTGTGAGTCCTTGCCTGCCTGATATCAATGACATTATTTTATTAAACAAAGATAAAATACAGTTTTATTAGTATCAATTATAATAGTGAATAAATAATAACAATGAAAATCAACATAAGAAAATAAACATTTGTTAATTCTATAAAGAAATAAACATTAAGGTGTGCTCTTACTTCCTAATAAGACTGCAACCTTCAGACTTGTGAAAAAATGTATTTGAGGTAACTAAACATAACACTGAACTCAAATATGTGGTTGTTGAAAAAAAAATTTAAGTAAGAGAAAGTTGAAATTATCTGACTTTATGCAACAGTGTCAACCAGACACGTTTTCATATATGCTTATTATGGAGATGGAGGCAGTTTTGTAAATTTTGAGTGTAGATTGACCTATAGCTAAATCATGTGAATCACAGCACAGTTAAAATTTTGAGACGAGGCAAAGCTAGACAGGCAGACTCATGCTTACGTAGAATATGCAAAAATAATCTCTCTTCACTGAAAAAATAAGAAGCATGTGAGAAAAGAAAGCAAACTCATCAATCATAACCTTTCGTTTGGTTTGCCAGTTTAAAACTTACGTTACATTTATGCTCCTTGAATTCCTTGTCAACAACAAATCAGCCCTGGTGCCTTTTGACCTAGAGACATAAGACTGGCCCTCCCTGACACTGCTTTGCCTGGTGCTCTTCTCATTGGCCAGTATTATTCAAAACAACGCAGACTAAGTTCAGAACAGAAAAAACATTAACAATATACAGAAAAAGAAGAACTAGAACTTGTTCTAGGATCTCCTCACATTGTTCTCCTGTGAATGAAAGTGTTTATGCATATCACAGTATAGTCTGTATATTATACACATTTAATGTTTGAACCAAAAAAAAAAAATCACTTCAAACTTCAGGGAATGCATAAGCATAGGTAAACAAGGCATATACTGTGACTGTGCATAGCAAAAAGACAAATGAAGCAAACAGGGACCAGAACAATGTGGATAGCAAATGATAAACCTCAGGGTCATTTTAAAAAAACAAACAAAGAAAAAAAAACCCTATAATCCATCTCTAACTGCGCTCTCACATTCAACTCAAACACTGATTAAAACAGGACCTTAAACACGTCTTACATACATACAAATAACATACAAAGGTATTTTATAAAGCATTATAAAATAAATGAATATTTTAGGCATACTTGAGGTACATGTAATCTTTATTCTTTCGGCGTTTCATTGAAATGGGTTACAGCAGTGTCTTGCATGCAGTTTATTTGTACACTACAAGCATTATGCATATGAATGATGGGAGATGTTAAATTCTATGTAATCAAAACATTCTTTCATTATGCATAAAGTATAGTGTAAGTATTGAAAGTTTTACTTACATGCAAAATATACCTACATGAATGGATTTATACTTTTATAACATGGAACAACAGATGTAGTTGTGACACAGTTTCGGGTGGATGTCACAGGAAGAACTGACAAAAGTAACACAACTAACTGCCACTATGAAATGTAAACAGAAGTAGGAAACACATGAGATGTGTGATGCCATGTCCTTGAGACCATCATTCAAAATATTCGGAGCCATCTTTCATCCAATTTAGATATTTATCATGATAAAGAATGAGAGGCAAACTGTGCAAAAACAGTTCACAAAGCACACAGAAACATAAAAGATCAGCTAACCTTATTTTTCGGTCACAATTTCCAAATAAAAATATACAGTAAAAGTTAGAATAAAACAGCTCACACAGCATAAGCATATAATATCACCAGTAATCAAACATGGGGCTTGTTAAGAAGAATTACCATCCATATAACAGTTTTTATAGACATATAATTTTTCACCTCACAGCTCCTGCTGGATGTAAATTCCTATCTGCCTGAATACAACAGAACATGGAGAATATGTCTGGTTTCATATCACGGGTAATAAATAATAATGCTCCATAAATTCTCTAATTTCATAATCATTATGGAGTACACACTGAGATTCATCATCGAAAAACGACTGAGAAAGCAAACAGACGAAATGAAGACAAGGCAGACACATGGAGGAGTCAGAAATGCTAAGTGTTGTCGATGTCCGAAAAATAGACAATATTAAAGATGATCTTCTCCGAGATCAGACTGACAGAGGTTTCTGGTTGAGTGAGGTAACTTATAGCAGGGTCAGTTAAAGTGTACAAACAACAGAGGCTCTTTCTTCAGTTTCCAGCTTTGAAAGACAAACCCTCAGTGGAGGATTCTCTTGTTTAGCCCAGTTTCATGATAAAATTTGTACATAATTAGCAATATCATAAATGGTAGCTACATACATAGCACATAGCAGGCTGAGATGAAGAATGTGAATTATTTTGATGATTCAACAAAATGTGAATGTGCAAAGTGTTTCTGCCAAGTGTCACTGCTCTGATACTCAAACTTACTTGACGTACTGAGCTGGATTTGTTTGGACTTTAAGCTATTTGGGTCATCTTTCCGTAGTGTGTAAATAAAAAAAAACAGCCATGCCATGACTGTATACTTTGCATCATGACACATGATGGACAGGGAGGGAGCCTGATGAAAATAGTACACTCTAGCATGCATAATCATGGAGAAACATTCATGCAGGTCTACATGTTTTTTGTTAACTGCAGCAACTCTGACACTGTCTCTTGGATTTGTCAAGTATCCTAAGTGCTATCACTTAGCATGACTAGCCTTTAAAGCAATGCTGCTCGTTGTAAAGACTACCCCTGAAGGAACAACCCTTTTTGAAGAGTAAAAAAAAGTGTATAAAAAGTCAATCAACCAAACTATGAATTCTTAAAGTAATAACATTAAAACTGTTTTTTCTGGTTGAAAAATAATTCAGTAAAGTAATACAACAATGAGTGATATAACAATAATTCAAGACACTGGATAGCAGAACTAGCTGCAATAGAAGTTAAACCATTAACTAATGTGTCTTTCAGAACACTTTGAGAAATGTTGCCAATTATCACAAACAGTCAAAAGTCATCCTGGCTCCTGAACACAGCCAAAATAGTCCCACTACAGCTTGACTGAGCAACCTCTCTATTTAGGCACCAACCCTCAGACTCAAGTAAGCATGGCCAGTTTGGCATAGATATCCGTACTAAGGAAGAGAGTCCAGTGGATGTCTTAGTCACTATCGAAGGTTGTAAACATTTTGTCATTGTCAAGACTCATTTATATATCTTGCTCCCTGACATCTTTGCCCACAACCTCCTTTTCACTTTTGTCTTTTTCATATTTGTTTTTTCCATTTGTTGTCACACTGTTACATGATGGTTGAGAGGCAGTTGAGGGTGCTAGTTCATTTTTATTGGCGCTTTTTTTGAGGTCGTCTGTGACAGCAACCTCTTTGTCAATGAGCGTTTCATCCTTTTGAATATCATCCCTGGCTGTGGGCTTACTGGCAGCATGATTCTTTGCATAGTGTCTATATGCTCTCTGGATGACAACGGCTGACAAGTCCTCCTGTTTACGGCGGAGAGTGGTAGTGATGGGTTCGTAGGACACTTTGGAAGGATTGGAAGCCATGAAGCGCTCCTCCATCTGCCCCCTTAGGATGTCCATCTCCCCATCCTCACCTAGAACACGTTTTGTAAATGCAAACAGGATGTCCAGGCAGTGAATGCGTTCTCCACTCACCATGGGTAGATCCATGGAGATCAGTTCGAGCTTGTTAGGCTTAGCTATGCGTAACGGTGACTCCAAAGCATCTGCAAATTCTGACAGCTTATTGTACTCCATGAACTGTGTTGCATGAGGATCAAACCTTTCCCAGACCTCATAAAACATTTCAAAATCATCCTCACTTAGTGGGTCCGCACTCTCCTCAGTGGCCACACTGAAGTTTTCCAGGATGACTGCAATGTACATATTCACCACAATTAGGAAACAGATGATGATATAGCTCACAAAGAAGGCAATTCCAACAGACGGATTTCCACAGTCTCCTATAACATAACTGCCAGGATGCTCAAGTTTAGCATTACACTCATCTTCTTTTTTGTTGAGAATGGGAGCTAGTAGGCCATCCCACCCTGCCGAGGTGGTGATCTGGAACAAACAGATCATGCTGTTGCCGAATGTCTCAAAATTGAAAAGGTCATCTATGCCTGATTCCTTCTTCACATAAGCAAAGTTTGACATGCCAAAGATGGCATAGATAAACATCACCAAGAAGAGCAGGAGACCAATGTTGAACAAGGCAGGCAGTGACATCATCAAGGCAAACAAGAGTGTGCGGATTCCTTTGGCACTTTTAATAAGTCGGAGGACGCGGCCAATCCGAGCCAATCGGATGACTCTGAACAAGGTTGGTGAAACAAAATACCTCTCGATCAGGTCTGAGAGAAACATGCCTAAGGAGAGAAAGCAGAACACATTAAAGGATATCGAGTGCATACAAAATGTGCACACTGAGAGAATGAACAAACATGCATATAGATATCTGGCAAGTGAACAGAGGCGAGTCATACCAGCGATCGACAGAATGACTATGATGAAATCGAATATATTCCAGCCATTTGTGAAATAGTATTGGCGAAGCGAGATCATCTTCAACAGACACTCTCCAGTGAACATGCAGATGAATACTACATTGATCACGTAGAGAATTTTGTTCTTGTCTTTTGACTGGTCAGCAGTTTCTACCATCATGGTTACCATATTAAGCCATATTAGAACCATTATTACAATATCAAAAGCTTGTTTTGTGGTGAAGTCAAAGATGTATCCTTGAATCTTGTTCTGAAACAGACACAAGGCAGAGAAACAAGAATTCATTTTAGGTGCTATGAAATTATGATGGATTAGTAATGCAGATTAGATGAGGTCATGAATAAAGTTACATACTGACGGTCTAGGAATAGGTTTTTGTGGTTTCTTTGACCCCAGCTTTTTCATGGCATTGTAGTATTTCTTCTGTTCTTCAGTCATGAAGATGTCTTGGCCTCCTAAGTAAAGAGGGGATGTGAGGCATGTTAAATCACAGCAAAAGTGATGAGGAGACACTGCAGCAAGAGAACCTGAAAGTAGTGCTTTTCAAATTGCATCTCCATCAGAATACCGAGGTAACAAATACAAAATTTTGTTTCAAAAGTAGATTTGATACTTATCTTTTTCTTTTGCTGATTGAAGTTGTCTATGATGACACCGATAAAGAGATTGAGTGTGAAGAAGGCTCCGAATATGATGAAAACAACAAAATACGCGTACATCTTCAGGTTGATCTCATACTCAGGTTGTTCTTGTGGCTATAATAGTGACAGAGAGAGATAATAGTGTTTTGAAGTTAAGATTTGAGATGTAAGATTTCTGGCAATTACTTATTTACATCAGAGCCAAATAAAGTCATGTTGTTGTAATAAATATATAATAATAATAATGATACTTATAGCGCTAATAAATGCAACTTCAATCTGATTTCATACTGCACCTATCCCTAAGGTGCAGTGCAGTCTGGCGCCTGCAACTCTTCATCTACCAGCTCGCTGCAGTTACTACTTCTTGTTCCACTACTCCCTCTCAAAAATTAAAAATGATCCATTTGTTTTGGGGAGAGTTCCTTGTGCCATAGCAATACATTAATACAGTTTTGACACAGAGTTAAAAACAAATGAAACTAAATAAAATAATATATTAAAAAAAATGTTAAATGTTGATGTTTTGTGCGTTTCAATTTTGCACGGACAAAGTATCGGAAATGCTCTGTTGCTCATGAACACTAATGAAGGCGTCGGCAGGTTTAAGTTGCCCTCTGCTGTAGAAGACTGAAAGGCAACACACCTCTGTGTTTTATCTTGTCATATAACAACACACAAAAATCTTTGATTTGTTTTTATTAAGGCATTTTAAATCTACTGTATACTGTATTTTATATACTCAACACAACTACTACTGAAAAAATGACTACCATAAATAGTATTAAAGATGTAACTTGTAACATAACTTAAAATATTGTGATATTAGAGGAACAAAGAGACAACAACAGGATGAGCTATATATGAAAATGGGATTACCTTGCTTTGAGAGTCCACAGCATGATACATGATGTCCAACCAGCCCTTGAAAGTAGCCTGTACAGAAATAGACAATATCAACAAAAATTATTCCACTGGGCCTTTGATTGTTCCATCTTTGACAATTTTCCACTAACACTAACAAATAACATATCAACAAGTTTGAAATTGCACACATCGTAAAAATTATCTAACACTGCTGATTCAATTACTTACCACTTGCAGCAGCGCCAGGTAACCCACTCCAACATTGTCAAAGTTGATTTTGACATTCTTCCAGCGAGTTTCGTTGCCAAAGGCATCACATTCTGTCTTGTTTTTCACCTCTGATGGAAGGAAACGCCTGTCTGTGGTACTGTTGACACAATAGTTGTACTTCCCAGCAAATAAGTTGACTCCCATGATGCTGAAGATGAGCCAGAATATGAGACATACCAACAGCACATTGAAGATGGAAGGAATGGCTCCCAGCAGCGCATTGACAACCACCTGCACACCAACACACAAACAAAACCCATTTGTATGAAAGGCAGAGACCTCAGAGTACACAACTGATACACAACACTCTGGTAATGGTGAGAATAGGAAAACACAAGAGTGAATGTTTCAGTGCCAACAGAGAGATCAGTGAGAGCCCACCACAGATATGACTAAAACCAAAGCTCCAACACAATGACGACTGCAGGGTAAAGATGGGGAAAAAAATTAGGAGAGGAGGCAGGAGATCAATCAAATAAAGAATACTACATATCTAAAAGTGGTTTTATTGGGTAACATCAAAATTTTAGGAAAACATTGAAACAAAACACCTTGTAGAGGCAGGAGGATGCCACAAAATTTGCTTACTGTAAACAGAAACATAAATAAAGCATGAAGAAATCATGTTAAAGAACCCAGCAAACAATATCCAAGACGGTGAAATTGGAATAGAAACGAATGTAGCGTTGCAGACGCACATGAGAAGCTGTTCATGCAAATGAGGGAATTCACCGGCTTCCACGTGAGGAAAGACCATCATCATCATAACAGTGCTGTAGATCTAGACCACCACAATATGAAAGCAACTAATCAATATGTTACATTGATTTCAGCAGCTGTTGACCTTGTTACATAAGTTATGAACTCCTGTTTAGACCATGCTTGCATAGCACAGCAAAATATTGTAATGCTATGAAAAGTAACAGAAGTTCTATTTTACTTTTGTTACAACAGACATGGTGCCAAACTGAGAGGTTGGACACACAACGACCAAGTTTTTCACTGACGCAAAGGCCCAGATACCTACATAAAAGAGTTTGAGAGCCCTAACTGGTGAGAACAGGGAAACTCGAAATAGACAGGCACTTAACTCCCGCTAAATTTCCTGTCTTAGCCATATTTATCATACTATACTTGCCTCCTTTTTTCCTATTTCCCGATCCCCCTGCTCACCTGTTTTTCCCTTTCCGATCTCTGGAACTTCCCCGCCCACCTGCGCACCTGTTCCTCATTTCCCTCATATGGTCCCCAGTATTTATACCAGCCGATTGTCTGCTAATGTCTGTGTGTGTGCGTGCGTGTGTGTGTGTTTCTCAATGTGCCGCTCACACAGTGGACACCTGCTCTCTGTGTGTAATTACCTGTTGTCTGTACCTACCTGCCTGCTCGACAATCTGTCTGTCTGTAAACCCAGTTCTCATCATTTAATCTATCAAAGTTCCTTCACTGCATCTGCCTGCCTGTGTGTCTGCCTGGCTCCTCCCTGCCGGTGCGCCTACCACCGGTCGTGACAATAAAACTGCAACTTATTGTTTTTACACTTTTGTTTTTGAACGGATTAAGCAACTGAAATATAACATGTTCACTATCAAGTTTTGGAGATGCTTGCGGGCGGATTTGTTTAATCTTTAGACAGAACCAGGCTAGCTGTTTTACCCTTATACTTAACTAAGCCATCTGCTGGCCCAATAGCTTTATATTTAACCGACATATATGTCAGTAGCATCAATCTTCTCATCTAACTCTTGTCAAGAACGCAAATAAGCACATTCCCAAAAATGTCAAACTATTCCTTAATTCCTATTCCATAATTTAAAAGAAACGTTATTATTTAAATACTTAAATCAACCTCCGGGGACAAACAACAGCTGGAGGAAGAGGATTAGGAAAAGAGAGGAATGCTTCAGTTACATGCAACAAATCTTTGGGGTATCTGCTGTTCTGCCTCTGCAGAGTGAGACTGCAGAGTTACTGTGCTCTGTACCGGTGGAGTGAGCCGGCGTCAGACAGTGCCCCATGACTCAGAGTGGGTGGAGAAATCCAATGACCCTTACCCTCATGCCCTCGAACCGTGACAATGCTCTCAGGGGCCTCAAAGCTCGCAGGGTTCTCAGAGACTTGATGGCACCGAGGTCAGAGCATCCCATGGCGTTGGCTACCATACTGACCAGTGAGACCTGGATCACATGCACACACACACACACACACACACACACACACACACACACACACACACACACACACACACACACACACGTCAAAAGTGAGTATAAATTCTTTATACTTTAAAAAGAGCTTTGTCAGATACTACAACATGGATTCTATTACCTAAAAAAAACCCTCCTGAGAAGTAAGAATTGTGTGAGAGCAAGTGTGTATCTATGTGAGTGAATGTCTTTCAACCTACATCAACAATGAGGAAGTCCAGCCAGCACCAGGCATTTGTGAAGTACTTGGCAAATCCGTACGCCACCCACTTCAATAACATCTCCAGAATGAAGATGTAAGTGAAGATTTTATCTGCAAACTCCAACACCGTTTTAATGGTCTTCCTCTTCTCAATGTAGATGTCTTCGAAAGCCTGGATGTGAATGAAAATGACGAGTAATAAACTGTGAATCTGAATACAAATGTCAGTGATGCCAAAAATGCCCAGAAAGAAGTTGTTGCTGTTAATGTTGTAGAAAGATTTGGGTAGTAACCAGTAAATTCTTGACATCCAGAATCTATTGTTTATAATAGAAAGGTCACTCTTATTCAAAATCTTGACCTTAAATTGCACAGAATGAGACATTTTCCACATTTGCACCAAAACACAGCAGTGAGAAAAGTTTATTAAAGGTGAGACTGCACTTCCTCGATAACATTAAATGAAGTACAGTAGTCTGAGAATCTACTGTATCATGAGAGATGCCAGATACAATATGTAAACACCTGACAGTAGCTGTGTCACTTCTCGCAGGGGACTCACCAGTGCTCCACTGCTGAGCAAGATCATGAAGATGATGAAGCTCTCAAACCAGTTGTGCTCCACTATTCGGTAACAGGTCTTTCGTAGCGTCCACCACACCTTCCACCAGCCCACGTCCACATTTACCTGACAAAACTGGAACTTTTGCACGCAGCCTGAGACAGAGAAAAAGAAGAAATAACGATTTAGACGCATAATACGCAGTATCAGATTAACACCGAGGCTGTAATAGCAAGCTCAGTGGTGGCAGCGACTGTAGCAGTATTCACCGTCAGGAAAGCAGGCATCAGGATCCATAGCTTCTTCTAGTTCAAAGTCTGTAGACTCTCCTCCCTCCCCAAGTGCTGCATCTTCCACTGTGCTGCCCTCAGAGGAGCTGTCCTGCCCATCGTCATCGACAATCTGCGGAGGAAGCCGAGCAAAACTATTCTCAGATGAGCAAATATAACAGAGCCATGGCAAATGTAAGGGGCTGACATGCTAAGAACCCGTCTGTCCACACACTTCATGCGCTCCATATCCCTCCACAATGAAGTTATTTATATAATAATAGTCAAAACATGCCAAGACACTTGCACAAGACATGTGAAATCGGTATGTTTTGACAGATGCCTGCTGCCTGTCTTGTTGTTTAAGGCTGTCGGTAAGAAGGACTTCACAGGAATCATTGACATGCATCCAGTTTGACACTGAATCAAATGTATGATGACTAAAATAAAGAACATGCATCAATCGGTATTTGCTGTTAAGAGATGTAACAAATCTTATGATTAAATATCGACAGGAAAATACGTGCATGTTTTCTTTCTGCAGAACAAACATTAGGACACCCTCATTAGCTTGACGGCAGAAGAGCAGCCAAGTGCTCATAAACACAGAAGGCAATAAGGAGTCTACATTAGACTCATCAACTCCAATTCATTGCAGGGGAGGAGAACTGACTCTAACAGACATGCTATTACCCCAAAGGCAAAGGTGACACTGAATCACTATCATTTTACATTTTCTAAATCATACAGTTGCTGTTATTTATTTAGATACAACATACTGGTCTGTCTTTTTAACTGATAAATGTTTTTTAGCCAGTTAGAGACTCACAACATAGACACAGTACTTCCTCTTTGCAGCCATTACTATGAAATATATCTTTAAAAAATCACTGGAGATTTGAAGCCAAACAGTGTTGTACAGTAGCCACATGGTCTCTCCTTTAGCCTGTTGTTGTATGGCTTTCTACAGGGTGTGTCTCCTAATAGCTGGTAGATGAGAACAGCTTGAATGCCTTCCTGGAGAATGCAGGAGCACTGGGCTGTCCTGGGACCAGCTAATGCAGTGCAGGGAATGATGTAAGCATGTTACTGCAATATACTGTGAGCACTTAAGTCAATGTGTTTGTGTTGCCACTCCATCCACCCTTTCTCTGTCAGAGGTGCTTCATGGTAAATTTGAGCAAAATCAAGAAAAAACTGTGGAAATATAATATTTTGTTAAATGTTGTTTTGAATTGATGAAAATCATCACAGATGACCAATGTGTTGACATCATCCCATTATGAGTGTTATTTTTAAATCATATTTATCCTTGTTGGGAAATGCATCATTGTAGCTAAATAGATTTGATGTCACGCAGCAAAACCCCTTAAAAGCTTGTTCTAGGTTTAAACTAAAATTTAACTAAATTAGGAAAGACTTTAATGTGATTCCGTATTAGAAAATTTTGCAAAGAAAAGATTTTCATCGATGTTTAAGACAATAAAAATATTCCAGCATCAAAAAAACAAAAACAAACTTGGCATCAGAGGGTGAATGACATGAGGCTAAAAGCAGATGAGCGACCTGCTTAAGAGGTTACTGAATGGTTAATATGGTAAATGAGGCAGGCAATCTTTGACGTGAGTGTAACATACTGTTTGGTAAAATGTTCTTACAAGTCTCCTTAAACTTTGAGAGCATCTGTAAAGCAGCAGCAAGCAAGCAGTCACGTAACATTGCTTACAGATCTTCAATAAAACACTGCCTGTAGGCAAATTATTTAAAGCAGGGACAACAAAAATAGATAAAATAAATAAACAAGTAAATTACTAACAATAACATAACAACAATTATACATAGACAGTCAGTGTATTTCTTTCTTCTTCTTTTACACTGTGAGCTTTTCTCTAATACAAAGCAAACATCATTCAGCTCCCCAGCACTCAGACTTAAATGGCACATAATGTAATCTGCACAATAGTATTTTCCTATCTATATGGCCTCTCCTCAGTAAAGCGTCATAGTATATGGGATCTTTAAGGAAAATGTCACTGCAGACTCATACCTTGTTGCAATGGCTAAGTGCTTAAAAGCGAATACTGTGATGCCACATCCAACTTCCCTCAACAACAAACATGTTCGCCAAGAACCACAACCAACATCACACATCGTAAAACATTAGTCTGCTTGTGATACGGCTGATGAGACTTGGTTTCAAAGGAGCATTATCTCTAACAGTAAAGGCAACTTGACCAGTCAGACCAGATCCACAAGAGCATCCTTACCACATGGCATCCTGGTAGATCAGATGAGGCACTGCTGAAGTCCTCTGTGTTGAGGTTTTCAAAGTCAGACTCTCCCACAGCAATAGGAACTGTGACAGTCAGACTAGGATTGTTGATGAAAGACATAATAGAGTCATCACTCTTGCTGCTGACTATGTACTTGTCTCCATTTTTGTCCACTCCGATCACATCCCCGTTGCCATTCTTAGGAAAGTCTTTGATGGTATGGTTGGGGACACCATTCGGTCCTAAAGGTTTGTGGAGCTCATCTAGAGATTTTTCATCACCCTTCCCTTTCTTCTTATTCCTGAGACAGACGCTGTTACAGCTGCTTCGAAGCAGGGACTTGGCGAAGGCGATGCCTTTTTGAATCCGTCCAATGGCAATCTGCAAATTGTTCGTCTCACTGTCGTCCTCTGTCGCTGCCAGGTTGTCGGCACTGAATGAGCTCAGCAGCAGGGCCAGGAACAGGTTCAGCACCTAGCGGATAATGACATTACTTAGTGTTAAGACTGCGTTATCTTTTAGCTACTGTACCTCATGATAAGAACAAAACAGGTAGCTACAGAACTGCACTGTGGATGGTTATTCTTAACATCAATCATCTAAATCTAAAAGAGTGTGATGAGTTGGACTCATGAACTGACAATAAGAGATGATAATGTACCACAAGGTTTCCAATAACCATGACCATCATGTAGAGAATGATGCACTTGGCTGTCCCAGCCACCTCCATACAGTCCCACATGGTTTCTATCCACTCTCCACAAAGCACTCGGAACACAATGAGGAATGAATGGAAGAAGTCACTCATGTGCCATCGGGGCAGAGTGCAGTCGGCAGAGATTTTACACACACAGTCCTTGTAGCTTTTTCCAAACAGTTGCATGCCCACCACAGCAAAGATGAAGACGATAATAGCCAGTACTAGGGTCAGGTTGCCCAAAGCCCCCACTGAATTACCAATTATTTTGATCAGTGTGTTAAGAGTGGGCCATGATTTAGCCAACTTGAATACTCTCAGCTGTAAAAAGAAAAGAAAAGCAAGTCATTTCACATGTTTCTACACTCAACATGCCCCTGAACATTTTGGCAATGACACACTTACATATAGACTCACCAATCTGAACGATCTCAGAACAGACATGCCAACCACGTTTTCCAAACAAAGCTCAATCAAGCTTAAACTAACGATGATTCCATCAAAAATATTCCACCCTTCCTGAAAGTAATAGTATGGGTCCAATGCAATGATCTTGAGGACCATTTCAGCAGTGAAGATGCCAGTGAATACCTTTATAAAAAAAAAAAAAAAAAATTTTTATAAAAAAAAAAAAAAATTTTTATAAAAAAAAAAAAAAAAAACAGAAATACAGACCATTAATAAACATGATACCTTCTTTGGAAATTTTTTCAGTACGCTACATTCTACAGTCCATTCACCTGATTGCCCACAGCCAGCATCCCGTTAAAAAAAGGGGTCATTGGATAATGCTCCATGGCCATAAACAATGTATTGAGCACAATGCAGATGGTGATGGTTAGGTCCACGAATGGGTCCATCACAATTAGTTTGACCACCTTCTTGATCTTTATCCATGCTGGACAACATTCCCAGATGAGGAAGGTGTGGGCAAAATCGTACCAGCAAGGAGGACACTTCTGCCTTGACTCTTCAAGCTCTGAAAGACAGGTTGAAAAAAAATAAATATTCTTGTTTTTATACAAGTAACATTTATCTTTTCAACATCATTATTAAATATAGTATCCTATCTTGATTAAAGTTCTCAAATCTCATCTCAAATCATCATCACCTTTAATCAAGATAGGATACCCATGCCATGATGCAGAATACCTACCCTCCATTGTGCTGGTAATCACACTAGCTATACTATGAGCTCTCTGTCTGGCCTCTGGGCCATCAAGGAAGTCCATAAACTCCTGGTTTGTACCTCCACCAGCCTGTCTGTACTCTGTGTCAGTGGTGTCAGCCTGGAGATAGAGATGATTGTTATGGATACAACCCAGAAAATAACACAACACATTACACATTGGATGTACAGTATCTACAAATGTGACAAACAGTGTAAAGCTGCAAAAATAAAATTGAATTGTAGATTAGAAAGCTGCATATTTCTATAGCAGGTTCACTCACAATAATGTGATAACTTCGCACAATAACGGCACCCTGGTCAGATGGTCAGCAGTTATTCTTACCAGTCATAGTTGATCGGGAAAATAAAGTATAATGTTTTTGTTGTTTTTTTTAAAAAAAATGTAATGGCTAAATTCACATTACAATGATCAAATTATTGATGTTGGAGCTTCTCTGGATGCACCACTACAAAGAGTGTTCAAAACAGCCCCTGCTTGCAATTGCATCAGCACACAACAATAATGTAACTTTGACAAAACAATTAAACAAGTAAACACATCAAACTGTTGACTGCATACCCTACTGGAATTAATAGAGACCCATGTCTGCCTGGCACAAAGATATCGATTTTAACCCTCCTCCATGGTTTGGAAAATGATCAGTAATAATGTCAAGTATCACTTATGTGATTTGTAGTTAACAGACTGAAATATACACAGTGTGAGTCAGGCAGGAAAAAGACAAAGAGAAAAGAACCAAGGCTATAGGACCATCTGGACTGGACAACCCTTTCTTACATTGTCTCCGGTGGAGGCCATATCTACTGTCACTTTAGGCAGAAGGAGCCCCACAGGTGACGATGGGATAGAATTCCCACCCACCAGAGACACAACCCCATTGCAGTCTACAGAGCTGTGCATGATCCCATTGGGTGGAAGCAGGAGATGTGGCAAGAAGCTGCACTGGCTCATACTGCTGCTGCGTCGATCAAACCTCCGGGGAAGAAATAAAGAACCCCTCCGACTCAGGTTGTCCTCAAAAATACTGTTCTCATCATCAGCAAAGTCAGTCTCTGACCCCGCGTCCTGTGCTTGGCTTCGGAAACTGAAAACGCTGCTCCTGCTGTTCCGTCTGGATGAGAACAGGGGTCCACGAAAACTCAGAAAGGACTGGGAAAGAAAGATATTCTTCAGTGGATACATGATACATGCTGACCGTGGAGAAGAAAGAACGGCGATGACAATGACTGACTCTGCAAATATATACATATATATATATATATATATATATAAAAAAGCGATTTCTGCGGTGAGGTGAAGAAAAGAACTACAAGATGATGATGATGATAATGATGATGATGATGGTCATAATGATGTCGGTGAGCATTGTGAGGAAACTGCAAAATTAAAAATACATACTGGTGATGACTGAGAATGGTAAAGATGATGATCATGATGATGATGATCATCATAATGATGATAAGCGTTGCAGGAATGAAAATTGTGAAATTAAAAATGCATCCTGATGGTGATTGATAATGACAAGAATATAAGAAGTTGATGAGGACAAAGAAGAGGAGGAAGATGATGATTACGATGATGATGATGATGGCAATGAATATACCGATTATGATGATGAAAAGAAAAAATTTGTCACTGTGATAGCAGTCAAAAGAAACATTGCATTAAGCTTAATTGCATGACATGAAAGCAATCCCACAATTTGTTAGCAACTCAAGAAGGATGAGGAAAATTAGCCAAACACATGGTGAATAATGGAACACAGTACAGTACTGAATTCTGATTTCACACACAAATCATCGTAACGAACCTGATGTGCAGTCGAGCATTTCATGTCATAGTTGAGCAGGTTTGCTTCCACGGTGAAGCGGCAGCGAGCTTTCTTTATACTGTCCTGTGAGTTGGATTTAGGAAACTTCTCACCAGCCCCTTTGCCTTCCTCTTCCTTTTTTTTTTTTCGCCTGTTGCGTCTCTCTTTGGCACTTTTTGAGCTGAGCTTGGAGGCGTCAGATGAGCTCTCAGCGCCGCCGGCTTTGTCACTGACCTCCCCACCTTCAGTAGCAGCCGCAGTTGCTGCTGCCTGAAAGAGGAAAGAGAAGCCGATGGGGGTAAATGTTTCGTTTTTTTCTGACCCTGTGTTGGAGATGTGTTCAACTGCGTAGCTGTGTGCACGCAGAAGTTCAATTAAAGGTTAAGAGCACTTTGGCATAATGAGAACCAAATATATTCAAGATAATAAACACAACATCGGACACACTGAAGTTTACATTATTATACCAGTATCTTGTGTGTGATGGGTCTTTTGTAAAAACCCATTAGGAAAAACTGGGATCATACAGGATTCTGATATCTATCTGATCTCTGAACAGGTGTGTGTCTGACTGATGTAGCAAGCCAGAAAATTTCAAATGAGCAGCAAAGGCTTTTGTAGCCAGGAAGAAAGGTATATGGATTTTTTTCTTTTGGCAATAAAATAGCTTTAGGGGTTGGTAGCTCCCATAAGTCTGTAAGTTAAGCTGATTTATAACTATGTACTGCAATGGAAGTAAGGTAGCAAAATTTTAAGAAATATGATTATACTGCAAAAGAGAAAATGTCAACCACAGAGGACACTGTTGAAATCCTATAAAAGGACGCATACTATATATCTTGTAGGTAGCTGAAAGGCAACTACATTTGTCAGGAAAAACACTGACTGAAGTTGTCTTTTCTTAGTCTGTAAAATGTGCTGAAAAGAGCATAAGCTATCTAATATCTGGTGCTGTAGAACAAGATTGGTAATGAGATTTTGTGGTGTGAAACAATGACACATATGGAGGTGGATTGCCGTGTACCTGAGCATCCTCTTGCTGCCTTTTCAGCTGCTCCAGCATGATCTGAAACTCCTCCTCCTTCTCCTTCGCCTCCTTAATGGTGGCCTGGCTCTGCTCCTCATAGGCCATAGCTACTACAGCCAAGATCAGGTTGACCAGGTAGAAGGAACCAAGGAATATCACTAGTACAAAAAACACCATGTAGGGCTTCCCAGCTGCCCGCAACGTCTGAAAGGCACAGAAACAATGTTCTGGTCTGAGAACTGACGCAGATTATTTGTAATCAGCAATGCTAAGTTGTTTCAATATATACTTATTTGATAGACTTAATATAGTAATATAGTAATATTTTTTTCTTTTATCTGACCATTTTTTCCTGTCTTATTTCCGCATTGCTTTTATTTTCTTTTTTTTTAGTGTTGTATTCTACAAACCGAGTATATGATTGTTATTATGATGTACATCATGATTGTGGCTGTGGCTCAGGTCACATGATTGCCTCTGTCCCTCCACTTGTTTATCTGTGGGCAGTGTATTTTGAAAAAAAAAAAGAAAACAGGTTGAACAGTCACACTAGCTCACTCGCACTATCAAGATAATTTTGCAGATTAAGTTTGCAATACTTGCCACACTCACCCATTCACTCACACATTCACACACAGATGGAACAGCCATCAGGGGCAAGGTTGGGTTCAGTATCTTGCCCAAGGATACCTCGACACACAGACTGAAGGAGCCAGGGATCGAACCACCGATCTTCTAATTAGTGCATGACCCACTCTACCTCCTGAGCCACAGCCGCCCGAAACATGAAACATGAAATTTAATAAACTAATCAATATAAGATTAAAACCACTTTGTGATTTGTTGTTGTGCCACCCATGAGGCCAATGTGTCTAATGAGTTTGCTGTGTCGATTCATACTCCATGCCACTGTCACCCTTATGTCAAACTACTGTCTCGTTTACCCGGTACAATACTAACTGTAAATATATAGCGAGATAATTGAATCAGGATGTAAGAATTAATGCACAGTGAACTGTTATCATGTCGTTGCTGTGCTTGTTATACACCTACTGTTGTTTTCTTAGATACTGGCACAGAAGAGAGCTTGCCGATAGTCCCAAACAGGTAATGCTACCCAATTACACAGAGTGCTGAAAAGATTTGCTCATGGGAGCTTTGTTTGCTTTACTTGCTGATGTTATAAAGTTAAGCAGTGGCCTATTCATTGGACATCTATTTGCCTTTTTAGGGCCATTCACATTGTGTTTGCCTGAGTCATAATGGGACTCATCTTTGTTCCTTTTGGCCAAGATGCACCTGCACTTCATTCAGAGGTCTGTTTGAACAGGATGTTCAAAATATTCCCTTTAATACCAATATTGTAACGTGAGAAGTAACACAACCAGCACTGCCTGTTAATGTATTCTGGAAAAGCAGACAGTACAAATACAGCACCCTGAAGCATGCGTGAGGTCAAACACTTCATGAGGCTGCCACCAAACACGCTCTTAAAGGATCACAGAGCAACCAAAATAAAAAATAAAAAAATAGACTAAATGAATTAATTTGGCAATTTAACAAAGCAGTTAAAATACCAGGGCTTGATATTTCCATGAGCATTTCAGTGTAAGCCTTGTTACACAGGTTCCTCACTGTCACTCCTTTAAACTGACTTAAATTGACTGACAAAATGCATAAAACTAGAAAATGCATCACTCCTGCTCACTATGTACTCAGTCCACTAACAGCTCTGTATGGCTACCATTAAACAGGGGGTGTGCATCTCTCCACTAAATTTAAAATGGTTGTATTAATGTCATTAAAAAAACAAAACATTACCTGTTATTGAGGTTGCATTGAGGTTGCATTCAAAACTTCCCCAGATTACACACTTGGGTCATAAACGCTTCTCATTCTTTCTTTCTACATGCTGCCACTTTATCACATTATATGTAGATAACAAAATTTTCATTTTTATGTGTTTGACACCTTCCTCAATCTTTTTAATATCCAGCAACAACCTTTTGAAAACAGAGTATCTGATTTCATCCTTCCTGGTACGGCCAATTCTAGTAAGAAACCGGATAAACTGAATCTGACAAAAAAACAAACTTTCTTTTTGCTAATTGCTAATAGCAATTGATATTCTTGCATCATCAAAAAAGTGTATAAAATTGTTAATACGTGTTTTTATAGCTAATTGCCTACCTGTTGGTAAAGTTTCTCCCAGTAATCCTGTGTCATCAGTCGAAACAGAGAAAGGAAGGCCCAACCAAATGAGTCAAAGCTGGTGTAATCATAGTCTGGATTCCTTCCCACTCTCATGCATGTGTACCCCTCCGGACACTGCCTGCAACAAACAGAGAGTCTGTGAAGATCTGACGGAGTCATACCTCTGCCTACTCACACTGTACAGGTGCATCATACAAGCATTATATTCACTCTATATTGTACCCAGTCCTCTAACAGTCAAGGACTAAACTTACCCAGCCTCACTGCCATTTCCACAAAGCAATGGATCTAGTTTTCCTGGAATAAAATAATAATTACCTGGTGGGAAGAGAAGGAAAATCAGAGTTTTGTTATCTGGTGGTTTGTTATCTGTGCCTCAGCATAGTTAAGAATATAGCCATTCCTAATCACATAACTTTTTTCCAAGCAGGATCAACTTGTGACCAACTCAAAGCAGAACAGAGGAAAATTAATCAAATACTCACTCTCATTGAGCGAGTACTCAGTCCAGTTTTCCTGTAATGTTTTGTTTGTTGGCCACAGTAGACACTTTTGCTTTAAATGGCCCATAAACAACTGTAACCCTATGAGGGCAAAGACGCTTAAGCAGAAGACGGTGAGGATCATCACATCGGAAAGCTTCTTCACTGACTGGAACAACGCACCGACAATGGTCTTCAGGCCTGCCAAATAAAGCACCACTTATTACCCTACGTAGCCATTTAGAAGATATTGCTAACACACAGTAGCCTGCGCATGTGCATTCATTCTTTCATTTTTTTCCCCAACTATCATCTACAGAACAAGCCATGATGAGGAGTCATAATTATGGTATGTTTTAACAGCAAACACTAGAAATACTTGGAAAAAGTTACTTTCGCCACCACCTTCTAATAACATATTGTTCTCAATTTTTGACAACATGGAGGCTGTTTATTAAAGCTCAATGTAGCCATCAGACAGAGGAAAGTAGCACAGGAAATTAGGATCATGCATGTCTGTGATGATGCACATGCAACAATTAATGGGAGACACCCTCACCACAGATTACATGACATTATGCCTTCATTAACCACAAGCGAAGATGAGCAAATGGCATTCAAGAATAGTCCACTCAGAGACATCAGTGCAAAAAGACTAAGAGCAGGTTGTTCAAAAGACATAAGCAAATGGCACAGATCTCACAGAGTAACTATGCAAACTACTACTTCCCTGAAGAAGTAGGAGGGATTTTACTGGTTAAGATTCCTGATTTCCTGATTTTCCTGAGTCAAAGAAAATGATCCACTGAAGACCAGAAGACACTCCCATTTCAACTACCTCTCACCTGGGATGCCCAAGATTGTTTTTAGGATTATGGATCCTCAGATTGCTCAAACAACTCTGTGACATATCTGTGATTAGGAGGTGGACAGGTGAGGGTGGGGGGTAGCAGAGCATCCTGCATGCATGTCATAACGGTGGCTAGAGGAGAGGTAACTGAAGGAAGACGGGAGGTTGAAGTGCAGCGTGCAAGAGGCAAACTTCCATGCACTTGCTCCTACTGCTTACCTGGGATAACTGAAATAGCTTTGAAAGCTCTCAGCACTCTGAATGTGCGAAGAGCTGAAAGATTGCCTAGGTTTACAAACTCTGTTACATACCTGCAGGGAAACTTAAAATTACAATGGCATATTGACTCAGAAAACAATACATGTAACAAAGATTGGAGTCAATAATCCTACTGTGGATAGATAAACTATATGATTACATTTTAGTGCATACACAATCAGGTGAAGCAACTGAGTGAACTGAGGCATGCACATTGGTGAAGGTAAAATGATAATGAGACCACTGTGGTGAGAATTAAGATATGCACCTGGCCCCATGTGATACAAGCTTAAAGGAAAAGACTGGTGATATGCTATATTAATAATTAAAATGAAAACCAACAATAAATTGCCTGATATAGCTTATTCCTTTGTGCCGTAGACCTCCACTGTTGTCTACATCTGTGGAGTGATTTGTTCCTTTATTACCAAGAATACACACACTGTAGTTTATTTTGAGTCAATCCCACATTGAGTACACCTCCCTGCTGCTGTAGATACTCATGATAACTCCAAATCCAAAACTATAAATTTAAGAGCCGTTTATTAGATTATATTATTATAAGATTTACATCTCTAGTAGAAACCAAACAGCTTTTGGCTGCATGCCACTGACAGTGTAGGGAAACATGAAGATATTGAAAGATGTTTTATAGAAATATTAGTTTAGAATTTGTTGGCTGTTAGGAATATACAGACTAACACCAGCCTTATCCCTTTAGACAAAAAAATGTAAATAATGATGTTACTTTTGCTTCCACAAGTGAAACCAGTAACTTGTTGGTTGCCAGCTTGTGCACCTTGAACACAAGGTTTACTATGACTACTTTGAAGAAAAGATTTAACAACTGTTAATAGACTTAAAAGTACTTACGCCATAACAATGACACAGAAATCCAGCCAGTTCCAGGGATCTCTTAGAAATGTGAACTTTCCTATACAGAACCCTCGAGCTAAAATTTTAACAAGGGATTCAAAGGTATATATTGCAGTGAATGTATACCTGTTGGAAAACAAATGTAACTGTTACTCTACATGGCATCTACACTATTTGTGTGATATATTTGTGATGCAGTACGTACATGTGATTCAATGTGCAATTCATGGAGAACTTACTCTACATTCTTTGTCCAATCAGGCGGTCTGGTCAGTGTCATAAATACACAGTTGGTGAGGATGGTGCACATGATCACCACACTGAACAATTTGCAAGCAGTTGTCAAGGAAGTAATTTAGTTTACGGTGGACTTAGCTCCTTTTTGTATCATTTATCTTTTCTCAAACAAAGTAACAATGGAAACAATGCAATCTTGGCTTACGTTGACAAACAGTGATCAGGAATGGGATAAAAACCACAGATTTAGTGTGGGCTCAACATAAACATCATTAAAAGAGTTATTTGTAAAGTTTGCCATTGCTTCATAGACAATGTTAGCATTAACAGCTGTTTAATTACCAGTCTAGAAGAAAGGTTGGAGTTCAACATCAAACTTCATTCCTTTACTCCCCAACAGCTGTCTCCAGTGGTGGACAATGCCAGTGTTGACTCTTGTTTTGCTTCTATTTCTATGGCTTCTTTTCCTCTTCTGAACACTTTCCGATACCGAGTCACTGCACTGTCCAAGCTGCCCTTAAGAAGTAGTGCTGCTCAGAGGGTGTATATTGACTTCTTGTATTGTAAACACAACAATGGATGGATGGATGAAGCTCTTGGTGAGACTGGTAAGTAAACAGCTGTTAGTTCTTGCGTTGGCTATGTAGCAATAGCAAAACTTACAAATAGATCCTTTAATGCTTATCAGATTAAGATCTTATTGAAAGGATATGAGTGTACCAAAATCCAAATTGATATTCTTCTAAGAGGGTTGAAGGGGCTCAGGAGGTACAAGGCAGGAGCGGCATTGAAGCGGAAGATGACCTTTCTTTTGTTTAATACTATGAAAGTCTGAGAGGAAAAAGAGATATATGTATAAAATACTCTTATTTATATAAGAATGACTTCTTGTGGTTTTCAGCACACATTTCAGTGTACAAGTCACTAATAACATTTTGTATATTGCTGATCAGCCTCATATAATTCCTTTTAACTGAGCTTGTTTTCCTGTCATCTAAGATTGAAACCTCTGCCAGATGGCAACACTGTAATGATAACAGCTGTATGCAGGGCAAGATGAGAGAATCTTTCCTACAACCTCTTAGTATTAAACCACAAATAATGCCTAAGTATGAACGCAGTTAAGATACAATCAAATCAAATAATTCTATGAAACAGTAGTTCAATACTGTCTTGTCTTGTGATGACAGCCGAGCAAACTCTATTAGTGGATTAAAGATTTTTTTTTGTCAAAATCAAATAATGATGAGACATCATGTGTTCAAGGTTTCCAGCCAAGCTTCAGACTTAAATACGTACTTTCTGATTACAGTAGTAGGGGTCGAGATCTTCCAGCGGTGTCGACACCATGCCTTTAGGAATGTCCCCATACAGGAGAGGGAGTGAATTTCCTGCCTCCAGGTCACTGCTGGGCTTGAGCTTATTCTCATCATTGCGTTTTTTCTTCTCGCCCTTGGGTTTCTTGGCGTTCTCCTCAGCAATCCGTCCCTCAATGGTTTTGAGGGACTCACGACTAAAGCGGTGGAAGCTGTCTGGACCTGGTGGTGCAAGCAGCTGTGCCATCTTTTCATCCTGCAGCTTCACACTGAACTGCTAGCCTCCAGCATGAGAAAGGCCTGAGGGATCAGTACAGACAAGAAGCTCTGATTAGAGGTTAACAGCTGTTCGTTCCGACATGAAATATTATTCAATTGAAAAATGGTTAACCTCTGACTAATCCTCATAAGTTTTTGCGACAAATTCCCACAACAAACTACGTGAACTGCTTCAAATGGTGGAGAGGGAGGTGGGTGCGGCTCAGCTCTTTGGTCAGAGATCGTCATCTCAGGAAGTGGCAGGCTATAATGAGCCTAGAGATGGCTGTCATACACATAAATTCCTGCCAGCTGTGGTAAAATTAGATCTAATTATCTGCTCTTCTGTAGGTAAAATTAAGATTTGACATGACAATGATCAATTCCAGGTAAGATTCTCGCTCCTCTCCTCCCTCCCTCAAAATGAAAAGAGCCCCTCTTTTCCCTCAGAGACTGAGACAGAGCGGTGGGAGGAAAAGATCCATCCTACTAATAGGCCTGACTGGTATGATGTGTTAGCCAGACCTTTGCAGTATTAAATATGAATGCACTACAGACTGCACGGCATCTCTCTGGGTGCCCTGCCACTGAGAGCTTTTGCCTGATCTGAATGTAATAGTGTAATAGAATACTTCCACATGTTGTGCTGTGATGCAAGAAATCAATCACAAACACAATGATCAATCAACTGCCCTCAGCACTGAGTTGTACATGCTTGTGATGTAATTGTAACATAAACAGATGTCTAACTACTGGGGGAAAAGGCTCTGAGTTTGAATATATGTCCATCTACATTGTTTTCATATCTGCTAGAATATTTGGTTTACACTGAAACAAAGCAAAACATTGTGAAAACAACAGAGACAGTTGAGTTGAATAGAGACACAAAAGATGAAACACTACAGGTAGCTGCTGATTTTCAGTTGACTGTGGTATTGTACAAAATACTATCAAGTTTATGAAGACACCTCTCCAGTCAATTGCCTCTGTGTGTATCATTGGTTCCAACATCGCTGGACAGAAAGGGGACCTGCTGAGTTAGTCAAATGCAGTGCATAAGCCTTTGCAAGTACAAAGCGTTGGTTACAAATATTTGCACCTACTGTATTAGTCATCTTTCCTAAACATCACATCGTCACAATAGCGTGTCCAATGGTATGAGTATGTGTAAGGACTTAAGGCGAGCAAGACTTGATGAAAACTCCAAGAATTCAACTTGTTTAAAAAAAGCCAAAACTATTTGTTGCTGTCAGTGTCATTATGGACATTTGTTTGAGACCAGGGAGACTGCCCTGTCTTTAATACACACTTCAGATTCAATGTATCTGTGTCTGTGAGAGAATATTCCAACACAGCTCCAACACAAACACACGACTACAGCAATGAAAAATGCGATAACATCATATTTCACACAATAAAAGTCAACCATTTAGGACCAGAGTTCCACATGATCACATAAGTTACATTTCCCATAAAATACTGGTTAATGTTTTCTAATGAACTTACCGTATTTTATAGCTGAGTTTCAATTACAGGATACATTTTGCTGTCTTTGAATGGGTTTTAGTCAGTGATGGAGTATATTTCAAATATGCTCACTTTATGGGTGATGTTGTTCATGGTGCATCTACTCTGCTGTGCTGTGGCCTTTATGAGTGAAACACATGAACAGATGTGATAAGTGTATACACTGTCATAGTTTAAAGTAAAAAATGTCACCCTCTGTTCCAATGCACCATATATTGTTTGTATAATGTATGGTGCAGTACGTACTGAAGCCCATATGTTTCTCCTGCAATGATAAAGTGCCTCAGATGTGTGATGATTTTAAATGAAGGGTAAAAAACAACAGTTATGCCATATTACTGTAGCCTATAACTATTTATAGGACAACAATATAGTCTTGGTTGAAAGGAAGCAACAGTAAGACATACTTCTTAACTCTCTGATAACTTTCTGAAAACAAAATCAAACAAACCTCGATCTGATGTTCAGCCAACAAGGTCAACCTGCAGTGACTAACCTCTAAAGAGGTATGCATCATTCTGTCAATCCATTCCCAACTCACACACAACTTGAGATATGAACGGCCACTTTGAAGCTTCAGATAGGCCCACTTCAATTTATCTGCAACCTGTCGGTATCATGACCTTGTGGTGACTAACCTAAAATGGATACATTCGTTTCCACCAACTCTCACTGGAACAGAATGTCAACACATTGGTTTGGTATTTGCTGTTCACAATACATTTAACTGTGTCCTGCTGATGAGCTTTAAGTGATGACTGACCTTGACCTCAGGCCACCCAAGTCACCTGCAACTATATGAAACACTCACACAGCGTCAATGGAAAGCTCAGCTTGAATATTTCATTACTCATTTCAAAACTTTACAACTCCATTTAAGTGACCTCAAATTGCTTCTTGGTACTTAGATGACGGAAGAGATGTTTGTCTCTGATTGTAGCCCATTGCCTCAGGCTTCAAAATAAAATACACTGAGCCAACGCAAGGTAAAGCTGTTGTTGACAAAGGAGAAATACATTATTGATACATTGATAAAGCCAAATTTAATCTCAGTGGAAGCCACAATTCTACGGATATTAAATTAGAGCTGCAACGATTAGTCAATTAAGGGATCAACAGAAAATCAAGTGGTAACTATTTTGATAAGTGATTAATCATTTTGAGTAATTTTTATGAAAAAATGCCAAAATTCTCTGGTTCTGGATTTGTGACGGACATTCTTCACCATCTACTGACTTTTTACAGACGAAACTACCTGATTAATCAAGGACATAATCAACAGATTATTTGCCTAAATTAAATGCACTTGTTAATTTTGGTTTGGACATTACAGTTAAAGAGAAAGTTTATTGACATTTTGAATATCAGTATAGACTAATGCACACTACAGTATGTTTCTTGTAAACGGACTTCCCTCTGCTGTCAGACTTATATCCATTCTGAAATGAAATTCGTTATGGTGAGCTGGTTACAAACTGGCTGTGAAAAGATCCTTTTCTACTGCTGTCCCCCAAATCCCAAGTTCTTGTTCTGTGTCAACAGATCTAATATGAGGATCCATCCTGTCTGCAATAGTTAAATCAAGTAGGTGTCTTTCAAAGCTGCAGTCATCACATAAGCAAAGCCTCTCTTCACGGCCGGTATGGACGAGAGGAAGAATTGCAATGACCACTACCTTTTTCAATAGGCCTATACATAGGGGCTTGTGAGTATTGCCTAGTGTAAGATAGACTTGAAAATCTGTGAATATATCCTTTAATTCTACTGATTTACTTAACTTAACTTAATTTAAGTTTTAGTAGTTTTTAAGTTTAAGAGGTTGTTTTCTCTCTGATATACAGTACAGGTACAGACTACTGTGCAGTATACTATAGCTCAGTTTTTGTTCTGTTATGTCGACTTGCCCAGCAGGCCTACAAAACAATATGAATGATTTAAGTATATGGTTACTGGTTAGTAGGATGACATCCATTAATGAGTAGGATTGGAATAACATGTTCTTTCAAAGTTAAACATACCTGTATACACAATGATCACACCTCAGTATTTGTGGGCTCCTCTGGGACCAACACACTCACAGCTCTTAAGTGCTCACAACTAATGCCTGCTGCTGCCTCTTACAGACTACAGGATCAGGATTAGATCTTGCTCGTTCAGGGCGTTGGCTAAATAGCTGATGATACAGTCTTTTTTTTTATGTACAATCTGCTGGGCTATACTGTGTGTGTTTGTGTGTGTGTTTGTGTGTGTGTGTGTGTGTGTGTGTGTGTGTGTGTGTGTGTGTGTGTGTGTGTGTGTAGTCTGGATAGAAAGCAAACAGGGCAGGATGATCTCTAATTGACAGCAATCTAATAATGATGTTGACAATCATGCAAGCAGGAAGTCGTCTAAGATGGAGTGTGGGCTAATAATTGCTGCCATGCCCATTAACTCTTGTAATATATTGTAGCCCGTGATTTGCACTCTAGTCGCTGCCCATATGAACTGCAAAAGATCAATCACCTTTTTCCATACACATCCTCTAACACTGTTACAATCATAAAACATGACATTTAACAATATGATAAAATGTGATCCATAAAGACTACATCATATTAAGTGTGAAACCTCTCAGTTCTTTAAATATAGCACATTATAAGCCTATATATGTATTTTGATAGACAGATAGACAGACAGATAGATAGACAGATAGATAGATAGATAGACAGATAGATAGATAGATAGATAGATAGATAGATAGATAGATAGATAGATAGATAGATAGATAGAATCTGAATCAAAACTTTTCTCAGCTACAGACTTTAATACATCATTTGCAGAAATAAACCAACTTTTAATAATTTAATTAACAAATCATATTATTTTTGTTTGAGAAAAAGCTCACAGATACAACTTTAACAGAATCTGCTCCACTCACCATCAGTTTTCCATCCTCGACAGGTGAACAATACAGGGGGAAAAGTGTCGTGGCTTAACTTCAGTGCGGAGAAAAACGTTGTTTCAAATAAATCTGTTCGTCCGTTAACGACGTTTGACGCTTTGTCCCAGTGCACAACTGGTAATTTCCACGATTCCAACAGCAAAACCCTGAGCGAGAGAGAGAGAGAGAGAGAGAGAGAGAGTGCGAACGAGCGAGCGAGCGCGTGAGTTTCAACCGCCCCTCCGCGCGGCAGAGTCAGAGAAGTGTACTGCTGTGCTTCCGGATGTTCAAGGGGACCAAGTGAGTGCAGAGATGTTGTGGTGGACATTATCGTGCGTAATTGTCGGGATGTTTGCAATCTGGCATGTATCAGAAACTAAAAGCTAAAGCCACATAATCAGATTGAGTTCTGAAATTGTGTGTGTGTGTGTGTGTGTGTGTGTGTGTGTGTGTGTGTGTGTGTGTGTGTGTGTGTGTGTGTGTGTGTGTGTGTGTGTGAGGAAGTGAATGGGGTCAGTGGGGACACAAAAGTTTTTAGGAGCCTCAAACGTCGGAAGGATTCAGTCATTACACCAGAAAACAACACATGAAGAAACACATCAGAGTGGAGAATGAGCAGGTGGTGCAGTTCTGTCTATCATACAGTCTTTATGTTTTGCATATGGATAATAATACATCTCTAAAGTTACTGTCAACCATTCACTATGACCTAATGCCCCCTGGTGGATACAGACAGCACTACAAGAAACATTTACAAACGTTATTAGCTTTTTGGGGGCCCTATCCAAGATGCTGTTTGGAGGCCCCTATTGTGTCAAACTATGATTCCAAACCCTTTAAGATGATCTGTGGAGATGCTCAATCTGTTTCACTTTAAGAGGAAAACAGGCTAGATTTGTGAATATTTCAGTCATATACAGTATAGTATAAATTAAATTTACTTCAAGGTACTTTTGAATAAAAAAATACTACATCAAAAACTTAACTTTATTGTAGGAATAGAGGCAGGTTTGTTCAAATTAGCAAACTACATTGTCACAATAAATATTGTGATAAATGTGGCAAAGACTGCAACTAAGTCAGCAGAGTTGTCAAGTAACCACAAAATACATATACAAAATACAATAGGAGAGAGATAGGACAATCTTTCTTAACAGTGATCATTCAAAATTCATAGTGCTATATGAATAATCCACTGCTATACTACTACTGTTACTACTACTACTACTACTACTACTAATAATAATAGGCCTAATAATAATAAGTTTTATTTTTAAAGCACACTTCACATTATAGGCCTATAAAATGACAACACACTAAACTTAATACAATAATCATAAAAACAATCCAAAAGTAATGTTACTGTGGCAAATATTTAACAATATAGAAGGTCTATGGCTAAGAGGCGACACCCCCCCCCCCAAAAAAAAAAGAATATATAATACATAAAAAAATACATAATAAATAATAATACATAAAAATAAATAAATAAATAAATGAAGCAGTGTTTTACAAAATGAAAAACTCACATCAATAAGACTTTGTCATGGACTGCTTGTGTGGTTTATTTAAGTAGGCTTACATCAGTATTAAAATATATATTTGATTTTACTGTGATGTATTTTCTCTGCAATGTGAACATTTAGCATTTGAAGAAAAACCAAAGGAACCTTTGACCTAAATCTATAAAATTTCACAAAACACTCCAGCTCCTTCCTTGTTCTTTAATCATTTCCGTGGCTGCACAAAAGAGTCTTTTTCAGCAGTCAGCTTTACAGAATAATCCTTTTAATAAATCTTTTGATTCCAAATTTTCCTTGCATGTGCCTATACATATTTTGGTATCAAATGCAACCTACGTCACAGAGGTTGCAGGTTGAAATTATTGGTTATGATTTTTAGGAAGTCTTTCTTTAATTGCACCACTGCTGATTTTACATCGCAGTACAGTGTAGAGAGGTTTCACCGGGGGGGCGCTGTTGAGACTTTTCAAACGGATTTAGTTGAGTGAAATTGACAATTGTTTTTTACGGACTTCACCAAATTCAGTCACACCGCAGATAATGTGAGAGTTCAACACTGAAGAGACGAGAGGAAACAAGTCAGCGACATGGCTCAGCAGGTAGAGATCTGAAGTGATGTGCTGTTGTTGTAGAATAACAGAGTGATGGGTTGTTTTTTGTTTCTTTGTTGTTACTCTGCATTGTTTTCTTATTTTCCAGCTAAACAATGAAGAAGGGACTACATTAATTCCTCCGCAAAAAGTTGCTGGAGAACAAAGAGGTTCAATGATATCTGCGTCTTTCAATTTTATCAATTCCATCATAGGATCAGGAATCATAGGTAGGCTGAATATTCACTTCATAATAGTATACATTATATTGCTTAACTAAATAAATTCAATCATAACCAAACCGTAGTATGAGTATTACAGATTTCAAGCTTCAAGTTATTGATTATTGAACTTATTGAGTTCAATAATCAGTTGCAGTTGCTCATTTTTGTGCAACAAGGAGACGCTTTCATACCGCTGGAGCCCTTGCAGTGGTAAACCCTCCGTATCATATGACTAGCGCCTGTTGGCCCCCATTCACCCTTTAACTCTTTCATCCTCAAAAATTACCCGAGTCCATATGCACATCATTCTCCTCAAATTTATCCAACATATTGATTGATTGTATCTGTAATACTTTTTTTTAATTTTACATGACAATACAAAATCAATTTGTGGCGAACTTTGTTTTTTGCTGCAAACATTGTTACAGTGCCTTTAGGCTAAAAACCATATTAAGTATGTAAATTAATTAAAAACAATTATTCTGTACAGTGCCTTGTTAACATACCCCCTCAGACTTCTTTAGTATCATTAGTTCCATACATTGTTTCTTACATTAAAAAGTAGCCTGGTTGTTAATGTGTCATTATGTTCTAAAAATGTCTTACAGTGTCATTTTCTTGAATCCGTGCAGAATGAAATCTAACACCATGTCTTCAGCTGATTTCTTCGTTTACATGCAGCATTGCCCCCAAAATTAGCATCCTCAAATATAAACATCTATAAACTTGTGATCAAGAGAGCAGATCAATAAACCCAGCTATGACTCTGTGTTCACTGTAGAGATACTGTATGTCAGGGTCTTTGTGTCATTGATTTCCTACTGTCAGAGGGTCTTATTCAATAATGTACCATGAATGTTGTGTTAATTGTGTGCACATTTATGCTGTGTAAACGCTTGCATTCTTCACAGCTTTGATTTCCCCAGTACATTCCTCAGCTGCAGCTGTATGCTGTTTTCTTTTTTTTTTTCTTAAACCAGGTTTACCATATGCACTGAACCAGGCAGGGCTCCCGCTTGGTCTCCTGCTTTTGATAGCTGTTGCGCTCATCACAGGTGAGTATATGGAGAAATCGGTATTATTATGAAAATGCCAACTGGACAAATCGATAACATTATGTTTGCATTTCATGGCAGACTACTCAATCATCTTATTAATCAAAGGAGGCAACCTGTCAGGGACAAACAGTTATCAGTCACTGGTGCAAAGCACATTTGGTTTCCCTGGATTTCTGATTTTATCTGGACTGCAGTTCCTTTATCCTTTCATTGGTAAGCGGATTAAAGTGCAAGTAGCAAAGTAGCCCAGAGTTGAATATCAAGTTACATAGCAGCATGTTATGTCTAATTGTCAATGTGTCCTGAAAAGTCTTTTATATTCTCTTTGTTCCATTCTATGTTCTATGTCTTTTGACTTTTAGTTCGGTCTAAATAATACTGCAGATTAATATGAGCAATACAATGATGCTTCACCTCTGTTTTCCTCCTCAGCTATGATTAGCTACAACATCACAACTGGTGACACACTGACCAAAGTATTTCAGCGAATACCAGGAGGTATGCTGCACATAGTTTATTCCACCTCAGATAAAAGCTTTAAATAAGATTTAAAGCTCTTTAGATAAAGTATGTTTCAATAAAACCTGCAGTGCATATTTAAATGTTTCAGATGTTTCATTTATCTGTTGTGATATCTTGTGTTTGCAGTTGGTCCAGATCACATACTTGCAGAGCGTCACTTTGTGATCTTGCTTTCAACCCTTGTATTCACACTGCCTCTCTCGCTTTATCGAAACATAGAGAAACTTGGGAAGGTAAGGCTGATTATGAGGCATTTGTTAGTGTAATTTGGTGATTTCGAAACTGCCTGTAAAACATCCATGTATGTTACCAGGTGTCCCTGCTGTCAATGGTGCTGACACTTACCATCCTCGTCATTGTAATCATCAGAGCAGCTACCTTTGGACCCCAAATGTATGATTCTGCAATTTGCTAATCCATTGTGGTTTTAGTTTAAATGTTCCTGTGTGTGAACCATGGGGTTCTTTTTTTAATGAATACCCACTAAAATGCTATTATAGAAACATAATTGTGTTTTTTTTCTGTGTTCCTTGATGACTAAATATAAATATCACCCTCTAGCCTCCCCACAGAGAATGCATGGGTATTTGCAAAGTGGAATGCAATTCAGGCAGTTGGCGTAATGTCTTTTGGTGAGTCTGTCTGCATGCTGATGCTGATGATGCAGATGCCTGATATTTTAGCAGTAATACCTGTAAATATTAGACTTACTTTTGTTAGGATGTCAGAAAGCAGGCTTCCAATAGGATGGTAATGTTGTTCTATGTCTGTAGGCAATCATTTTCTTACATGTCAGCAATAAAAAACTTTGCTTAAGCGGGGAAATGTTAGAGCTGTATGTCTGTCAGCTTGTTTTGGAATTTTTCTGCCGCCTAGTGGCCAAAAATCAATTCCTGCAACAGTAATCTAATGTCTTTAAATTGATCCTATCAAAAGATCAAAGCCTCAATGCACTGTATAGTCCAGTCAGCATAAGACATGCAGTACAGCTTGACTGTAAAGAGATCAAGGCTATTAATTTAGTTAGATCACTGTCTAAATATTGTTAAGCCTTTGGTAAATCAGCACACGACATCTCAAACAACATCTGTTGTCATCGCCGTCTTATCGAGACTCTGCCCATCACTGCACACTGAGAGTAGAGAGCTGGGTCTTTTCCAGGCCATCAAGAGCTTCACATACATTGTGGTGAAAATCATGGCTCTGAATCAAGTGCCTTGATGATAATAGCTACTGCTGCTACAAAGGGGGGCCATTTAGATGGGGACGTGCATGCTCTCTGAGTTTTGCCTGGAGTTGGCAACCTCTCAATCCCAAATGGAATGGATATGCTCAATTTACTATCAAATCCAAAGTCATGAAATGCTTGAAACTGTGATGTTTTCATCTGAATGGAGCAATATTTTTGAATGTTTTCTGTCTCTTTAGCCTTTATATGCCACCACAACAGCTTTCTTATCTATGGTTCCCTGGAGCAGCCCACACTAGCTAACTGGTCTCGAGTCACCCACATCTCAGTTGGTTCTGCCTTGGTGATCAGTGCTGCATTTGCTGTCGCTGGCTATACCACCTTCACTGGCTACACACAAGGTCACAATACAAAATGTACAGCAGACACTAGTGTGACAGATGTTTGTTTTTTTTATTATTATTTTTAATACCACAAATGTATTTTGATCTCAAATTTCCACTTCTCAGGAGACATATTTGAGAACTACTGCAGAGATGATAACCTGGCAACGTTCGGTCGCTTCTGTTTTGGCCTTAGCATAATAACCACATTTCCACTGGAGTGTTTTGTTACACGAGAGGTAAGTAATACCCTCTCAACCTCAAACTTAAACAGTTAAACATTAACATATGTTAGCTTTATTCAGAGCTAGAGACGTGGCTTTGTTAACAAAATGAACAAAAAGAAAACGTGGCACTTTTCACCCAGTTGCTCCTAAAGTGCTAACAGCACAACAGTGTCAGCCTAGAGACTAGTTACTAGGTCCTCGTCAGGAATTTGTGTCTTACCCTTTCTCAATGTGCAAATACAATGCTAATTGGAGTTATATTTCCAAGCAGACTAGGAGTTATTCATTTTCATATGGTTGTTAATCCTCTCAGGTGGTATCCAACGTCATTTGCAGTCGAGATCTTTCAAAAGCTGAACATGTGGCCATAACCTTGTTCATAGTTGCAGTTTGCACATCAGTATCTTTGGGCTATGACTGTCTCGGAGTTGTTTTGGAGCTGAATGTAAGCCGAACCCACTCAGCTATTCTTTGCCTATTTACTTGTGTTCATTTATCCATGTTAATGAAGTGTTTGTTTTCATCTTACTGGCATTTTCTTCTATCATGCAGGGTGCTCTGAGCGCCACACCTCTGATCTTCATCATTCCATCGGCATGCTTTCTCAAACTCTCCCCTGGCCGCTGGTTTCAGGGGGAAAACTTGATACCCACCATCTTGATAATACTTGGCTTATTTGTCATGATCACCGGGCTGATCATGACTGGCCTCTACCCTCAAGACTGTTCACACGGTGTGGAGATGTTCTACTGTGCAGACGCCAACATCTCTAGCACTGTACCACCTGTATGAAAGGAACATTAAATAATTATTTACAACACACCTTACACTGCACCGCAAAAAAAAGTAGTTTTAATCATTTGTTTTTGTAGTTTGAGCTTGGCTGGTTAGTTTCAGTGAAGGGAAATCTTAATTCTACAGATTGCAGTGGTATTTTGGACAATATTGTGCTACCAATGTAGTGGCAGCAGTCTGGGGAAGGCCCTTTTCTGTATCTTAAAGTAATGATTTTCCCAGTTTGGATGTAGAAGCACTTCAAATGCATCAAACACCTTTTAGATGGGCTGAAATGTCAACTGTGAGCCAGACCTTACTGCCCAACATCAGCGCCTGAAATCACCAAAAATCTTGTGGCTAAAGCAAAATCCCCAAATCCTATGGAGAGCCTTTCCAGGAGCAGCACATTAATGTCCAGGCTTCTGGAACAAGATATGCAGAAATCACATATGCGTGTAATGTTGATGTGTCCATATGCTTTGGTCATACATTGTACAAGGAAATTTAAGAAAATGTAGATAGTTATCTAGTTAGTGTAGTAGTTCTTTTGGGATGTGTTGTTTATTATTTCTGACTATTTGTATCACAGGGAAGGGGAATTGGTCGTTTCCATGTCCGGCCACACGATGTCACTGTAGACAAATGAAACACTTATTAAAAGGAAGTTCAAAACAACAGCCCTGATGTCTTTTGATTTGACTTATTCCACTATAAATGGAGTGGGCTTGTGTTGTTTTTGAAGACATGGGTGTATTGGCTCGTTGCTGTGTGTGTTCTTGCCCAGATGAAAACTTGGACAAGATACCGTTTTGCCAAACGCCTCATCGGGATCCTGGAGGGAAGGTAAACTGGATCTGAGAGACGCCCCACTTCTCTCTCCAGCTCGGCGTTACTGTGCGGGGTGTAGGAGAGAAGTTGGCAGAGTTTTGCTCGGTGTCGGGAGGGGAACGGTTTAGATATGTTCGAATGTTGAGTTCAAAGACAGGAGGAGTAAACAAACTAAACTTCGCCGGAGAAGGTGTTGCGTTAACGGCGCGAAACACGGAATTTTCAGCGGAATTATGGATGATTTATCCAAACAACATCTGTGCATCCAGCCAACGTTCCCTTTTTGAAGACTGATGGAAGTTGACAACGGCTTCGAAAACCAGCTGCATTCATGGTAAGGTGTGATTAGTCAATACTAAAAAATCTTACACCATGTTTCTGGTGAAAATACGGGAAAAAAAAACGATTCATATGACTGAACGACCGATGACCTCATGTGGGATTCGCCCATATTTCAGTATTTGCGCGTTTGCATCACTTGGAGGCAGCAGGTCAGACTAAGCCTTTGCAACATGTGAACTGCTACTAAAAAATGAACTGTGCTTTTTGTTTGTATTTGACTAGTCCGAGGGATTTTGTTAAACCACTGAGCTTAGTCATGGATGATCATGGATCCCAGCCCCATCCACGGAGCTCAGGTCTGAGGTATGTAGCCTAACTGTCATTTGGATTCCCAGCTGTCATCTCTGTGTATATTATTTGTTAGTGAGAGAAAAATCAATAAGACCTAATGGGACCATGTATGTCTACTAGCCCTTCTTTGCTGTTAAATAGTAAACATGATTTAGTTATGGCCCTGGTAGTTTTGTTTGGAAAATAAAATGATAACGATCAAGTATTAGAAATAGAATGAAAGTGTTTATTTAATTGTGCACAAATAAAGAGCCAGCAAAATCTAGTTCCTCTGCCTTTGAGTGGCTGACAACAACAGTTGGAAGCAGGGAACCAGCTGTTTTTCTGACCAAACTGTTAAAGCATGAGCATAAAGCCACCTTTGTAGAATAATGCATCTGCATACCCAACTTTCAACTAACATTCCTTTCACTCAGTACATCTCAGCGAAGTCGCAGTTGTTGCAGACGCCTCAACCTTTGAACTCTCCTCATTTCCTGCTCTCAGAGTTTTACTGAGAAATTGCCTTGACCATATGTAGAGGTCATGGGAAGTATTTTGAAGGCAAAACATTCTACCTCCTGTGTCTCTGCGATGAGCCTGATGAGCCTTTTTTCTTGTGGAAATCATGCGTTCACTGCACAGGCTGGAAACTGATATTCTATAAAATACTGATTTGTCATGTCCAAAAGTCAGAGAAAATCACAATAAAAATGAGCTGTGAATATATGACATGATGGAATTTCCCATCAGTTTTGGTTCAGGGACTTAGAGATGATGTCAGCTGCCTGTATTCCAGTGGTTGGAATCATTAAAAAAAAGGGGAGTGAGTTTCCAGAGCTTTTTTTTTTTTTTCTTCTTCACAGAGTCTCTACTCACTCCTTTGGCATTCAGCGGCGATCTGCCGAGTTTTTGAGATTTAAATTAGAGGTGAGAATTTGAACATGTGATAGTTTCCAATCCAGTATTCCATGCTAACTTAGTTTCCAGTCCTGCCCTGCATACTGTAATTTCCCTTTTGTAAAAATAGCATTCAAGCACATCATATACACTTTACCAAGAAAAAAAAAATCACCCTCTTGGTGTGACTTGTGTTCATATTTCATAAGTATTTTGTAATCTGGGAGCACAGCCACGCTCCTTGGCAATGAGGAGCAGCAGACTACCTAAATCTCTCTGTGGTTTGACTATAATTTGGAAAAGTAAACCACACTCTTCCATAAGCTGCTGGGGTGTGGGCAAGGACACATGTTCTCTGTCTTATTTGTGGCTTCTTATATTTGGAGGCCAATAGACCTGCTGCTTCTCACTTTTTCAAATGTAGTCATATGTGAAGATTTCATATGACCCCCAAAGCTACGCTGCATTAGCTATCCAAATACTGACCCTGCCAGAATCAGTCTGCGCGGGCTGCTCTTCAACTGCTGATGCTGCCTGTGCACTACTTAACACATATAGTATATTATTTAACGTAGTCTTAACAACATTACTGAGCATGGTTTCTTTCTTGCTTTATTTTTTTTTTTGATGGGGGGGCAGTTAAAAACAAATTTCAGCAAACTTTTTTTTTGTTTATGATGGTGCATGTTTAAGACATATAATCATCCACTCCTATCTACTCTAACAGAGCGCTGCTTGGAGCTTGGAGCCCTGCTAATTGGACACACCTTAAACCATGATCTCACATGGCTGGCTTTCCTCAGGGCAGAATGTGGAATTAGTTAAGGTATTGTGAATCCCCACAGCTGTTTCCCGACATGCAGGCAGTCCAAGGGCACAGCTGCTCACATGAGTCTACAGATGAAAATCGTGGCTGGTCAGATTGAGACAGATGAAGGAGATGGGCACATGGAGTCGAAACACAGTGGCTGAAGTCAAGATAGAAAAATCACAGGGTCTTGAGTGGACTGAAGCATGTTACAGTATTTTCTCATAGAAACTATGCTCAGTGACAACAAGACTGTCTTCATTCAGGAAACTATATAATTTGGTCTCCAGCATGCTGCCCTCAGAAAGCCCACACAGATCATCTGTGGTTCAAAAAGCAAGATAAAGGATGTCATTCAAAGATATCCACCCACTAGATGCAATAAAGCAAAAGGGAAAATCAGCATTAAGGCCCAGCAATCTCGCCCTCCTAATGAGCTGATGCGTCTTTGAATACTGGGATGTTTGGGTGTTTTCTGCCTCACAGGGCTAAAACAGACAAAATGGCTAAGAACCAGGAGACAGGGAAGAATGGGTTGTCTTTGTTACCACTCTGAAGCCAACGCATTGACCGTAAATACCAGTGAAGATTCTCACTGGACAGTTATGAACACAATGAAAGACAGTTTGTCGGCCATTATGGGAAATTTTTCTTTTTATCTCTTAAGTAGACATTATGATTATGTATTTATATAATAGTGATGTTGTGCACAGCAGCCTATTTGGATAGATTTTGCTGCACGGATCCCGCCCGTACACCGGCTAAATAGAATGGAAGCCTTGGCCCCTCTTTGTTTCTGTCTTCCAGGGCATAACAGTTGGATGCCTCCCACTCTTCTGCCTCTGTAATACGACCTAACATGAATAAGTCCTTTGTGCGCTCTCAATAGGAACTTTTATTTATCTCCAATAACATTCAAACATTTCATGGGACAAAAGAACAAATTGCCTTGATTTGCTTGACCTTTACTATCAGTGTTTGTCTTGTTTAGATGAGATAATGTATGTTTAGAAACGGCCCAGCCAGTCCTGTCTGGCATTGGCAGAGTCTACTATAGGTCTGTTTAACAAGACCTTGACAAGCTGTCTAGCAATTATCCAACCAATGACAAATCATGAAGCCAAGCTTTAACCCTCTGAGGTCGATGGACTTTCCTATTAATATCTTTATATATCTTAGTACAGCGTAGAAATATGGTTTGAATGTTGTTAGAATCTGTCCACTTTCCATTACATATTCTTGTGAGATCATACGTGACTCATAGCTTCTAAAATTTGGTTAAAGTATAGTGACAGATACGACTCTGTGATATTACAAAATTTCATTTTAGTCATTTGTTATCCATTTATCTACTATTTTACTCATATATTGCACTATTTTTTATGAACCTATAGTCTTTGGTACACCCATTTGAAGCATTAAAACAATTAATCCACAACAGTAAAGGTTTGTTTTCACATAATGTTTGAAGAATTTCAAAAACTAGGCTTCAAGTTTTCAGCATTTGGGCCACATCACCTCTTTGCACATTGAGGGGCTTCATTATAGAAAGAGCTGATATTGTTGTGAAAATTGTGATATAAAAAACTTGGGTATTATCTTATATGCAAATACCCTTTAAAAGGTGAATATAAGAAATAATGTAGAAATCCAGAAAATGCCCTTAGACCTCAGAGGGTTAACCAGCATTAGGACAATAAATGGTCGGGGTGAAATGGGAAATTGCACACCTTGAAATGGTTCACTAGATGGCTCTATCTCAGTGTGTATGTTCATACTGTTGTATCCGCCCAGATGTTGGTGCACATGGGTAACGTAGCACTCGTTCCTGTGGTGATGAAGTGATATAGCGAACCCTCAAGATCGT